ACGCAATGCACAAAGTCTCTCGTTAAGCGTTTTCCTCCTGTAGAAAAACATAAACACTTAATATGACTTAATGTATTAAGATACGTTAAGTGCAATTAAAAGATCAAATTCGATATATAGTTATTATTATTTAATGTACTACAAGGCAAGCAGATGGCCATGAACACAATGCGCAAACTTTCACTTGTCCTCCCATACAGCAAAACGCTTAATGTGGCATAATAACGGATGATAAAGACAATTCAGTAGCCTATATGTCTTGTTGTTGACTCAAAGTATATACAGAACAGCAAATATGAACGTGCATTATGAAATGCATTAACTGATTTTAAAAGGATCAACTCCGTACAGGCAAGCAGACAGCCCAGAACGCAATGCGTTAAATTGCACGTTAAAAATTTTCCTCCCATAGAAAATAAAACACGTAATGTAGCTTAATGGACAAAGACAATGATATAAAAGAGCTGTAGACAGTTTATTCTATATGGAAAAATGCTTAACACGAAACTATGCATGTTGCGTTTATTCTGGCCTCACCTGCTTGCCTGTACATATTAGTTATGTAGGCTATATTAATAATGTAGAGGAGCATACTGAGTTTGGCCTTTTTAGTCCATTATGCCACATCATGCCACGTTTTGCGGTATGGGAGGAAAATACTATATACATATACTCTTTTGCGATTAACTTTCTCAGTTGGCTGCACGAGCACGGTTTTTTATTTATTTATTTTTTTACGCTACAACATGCTATTAATCAATGCATGCTGATGAACTTTTATCGTAGTTTATAGTTATATGGAAACGAAAGTAGTTAACATTCAACCCGTTCTTTTTCATCAGTAGTATTATTTGTGATTTGAATTTTGTGAATGGAAGTTCCTCTTTTGACATGTATGTAACCGGGCTTCAGAGAAGTGCAAGTGTCTGAGAGTGCAAGTCTGAGAATACAAGTTTGAGAGTGCAAGTGCAAGGCTGCAGCCAGACCCTTTTGGTCATCACAATTCCATAAAATCCTTCCCACTCCTCAGTTTCTGTGCTCCAATTGCACTTGCATCTCTGTGGATGTTTTCACTCAAGAGAAAGCAGAGGTTTGAATAAAAATGGAGGTTAAAGATAAAAAAGAGCAGAAGAGAGTAAGCAAACAGACATTTCACAAACATAGCCCTCTGCTCACTTCATCTTTTGTTTGTGTGATGGATGTCCTCTGAGATTGATGATGTTGAACGCAGTTGTTGAGCATTGCCTCCTCTAGGCGACAACAGAAGAGGATCACTTATCATCTCAGCTTGTGTGAGGGGGATTTGTGGAGGATTTGGAGAACATATGAGTGGAGTGTAGAGAAGAAGAACAGACTGGAGGGAGAGTATTTGCACACGGTTACCAGTTTCCAAATGGAAAGAAAATTCATAACATGCACAAGTGTCAGAGAGATATGTTACAGTAAATCACACACTGACACAATCTTGCTGGTCTTCATCCTTTGGTTTGTGTTTGTGTGGATGGTGAAGAGTTTGCAGGTGGCCTAGGTCTGGTGTGCTGGGGGTGGGACATGGCCGGGACACATTGTTTGTCTGGATGGGTTTGTGAATACAAAGGAATTACTGCATACGGTTTGGCTCACTGACAGCTCTGACTGTGAGTGTGTTTGTTAGTGTGTTAGAAAGAGTGTTGCTGATTATCTTTGAGATAAGGTGGCAAAAGAAACATGATTGTGGTTAAAAGAGGCAGAAAAAATAAAAACAACAATTGAAATGAGAGGGATAGACCATCCAAAATTGAAAATTCTATCATTTACTCACCTTCATGTCATTCCCTGTATAACTTGCGTTCTTCTGTGGAACATAAAAGAAGATATTTGGAAGAATGTTGGTGACCGAAGGGTTTTGGTTCCAATTTGACTTCCATTACATGGACAAAATATACAATAGTCAAATGGGAACCGAAACAAAAATTTTATTTTTAAAATTAATCATTTAATTGACAAATGTTTAACATATTTTATTCACATATAGCATTTATAAAATGTATTATTAGCAGACAGTTATGGCACAAGAAACTGAGTGTAACTTGATTTCTTTTCGTGTTTAACCCAAAAATGGCTTAAAAAGAAAAGAACAATAAGAGCAAAAAAGAGAGTAGGATATACAAATTGCAGGCCTTACAGCATGTGCCACCATTAAGCCCACACAAAGAGAGCAGTGACAAATTACCGTTTTAATTCTTCGGTTTGACTTTAATAAATTAACATGTTCTAATAGACTTCAGAAAGGTGGTTCAAACAGAAAGCCTTCATTAGATGGGTTGGGGGAAAAAAAGCCATTCATCTTGTTTACCATGGTGTTGTGTTCTTTAATAGGTCATTTACAATGAGGGGACAGAGTATGTGGGGGTTGTTGGATGGGATGGGCCCCATCCCATCCAACAACTAGGCTCTCAAACCTAGAGGGAGGGCCCTTGTGAAGTCACTGGTCATCTTGAGCACTAACCCCACACTAGTTCAAGACTGGTGAATGCTGGTGACTCCTGAATAACCTTCGGAGGTAGTGAGGGCTCACCCTTGTCTGACTCCACACCATAGACTGTAAAAAAAAAGATGGACGACGCGTCTCCTATTCCTTCCACTATAGAATCTTGTTTACCATGGTGTTGTGTTCTTTAATAGGTCATTTACAATGAGGGGACAGAGTATGTGGGGGTTGTTGGATGGGATGGGCTTATCCTCAAACCTAGAGGGAGGGCCCTTGTGAAGTCACTGGTCATCTTGAGCACTAACCCCACACTAGTTCAAGACTGGTGAATGCTGGTGACTCCTGAATAACCTTCGGAGGTAGTGAGGGCTCACCCTTGTATGACTCCACACCATAGACTGTAAAAAAAAAGATGGACGACGCGTCTCCTATTCCTTCCACTATAGAAAAGTGAAGCCAAAGCATCTCAGTATGGCCGCTGCCATCTTGAGTAAATGACGTCATTTGGAGCCCGAGTCTGCGCAGTAGAGATTCATTTGGAGCCAGGGAGGGTGCAGTAGTGATTCGTTTG